ATGAACAAATGTTTCACTGGAGGTTGTTTCAAATTTCAAGTTCCCTCGATACTTTTTGTCGGCGAAGCTAAAAAAACGTGGTACCGACTGGCCTCAATTTGCAATTAATTATTATTAAACAATAGGCGATTTTCAGCTTCTTTATTGTTTTGTAGGCATTGCTAAACTATATTGCATGCGTATACCAAATTTCAAACAATTTCAACAAAATTTGGCCAAATTACGACGATTTATATCTTAAAATCTTATTGAATTTGGGGATAAAAATTTTTCAGTTTTTTATTTTTATTATTAAAAATAAGCATTAAACAAAAAAACGGCAAATAGAAAAAGTTCCGTTTTGTCATTCTCTATAAGCTTATTTAAAAAAAAAAAATTTTAGCGACTTTCAAAATTTTCATGCTCTGAGACAATACTTTTACAGGATTTCGAGCGCTGGACGAGTTCTTTGATCCGGGCCCTCAATTGTTAATACAATATTCAGAATTATTTTTAACATGCGTTCTACGTTAACAGAAATTTTATTAAAAAGCGTTTATAACTTGGAAAGGAAGCATTTCCGGAGCCACGTTCATAAGACTTTCTTTCATCCTTACACCTTGTATCTATCTTATATATCTCTTTTTTGTAAACATAGAATATAATAAAATGTGATATAATAGGGCTACAGGCAAAGATCCACTTTTAAAAAATTTAGCGCGCTATTAGTGGCACCTCATGGATAGCGTGGAAGACCACTATTAGTTATTACTAATTAATTATTCGTAAATCTTTCTATTTTTAGTTGATAGAGGTAAATGCCAAGTAAGACGAGTCGCTAGAATATTGAAGGTATCGTATTTGAAAATTGCTTCTTACAACTTTTTTACCGTTTTTACACATTAGTTTCTAACAGTAATCGATTAAATTATTAAATAATATTTTCGACCAAATAATATTATTTTATATTTATTTATAATATTCGTATATGTCAAACTTGCATTTTATTGCAAAATTGTAAAATTATTTTTTATTTTTCTTTTGACAATTGCGAGTATTCACACTGGAAAAAAAGTTATTAATTTAACATATGCGATTATTTTTAATAAATATAAAATAATATTTTTTAGCAAGAAAAACATTATCTAATCATTTATTTGATTGTGCACAGTTAGAAAGAAAAGCGGAAATGCGGAAAAAAGTTGCAAAAAGCAGGTCTTGAATGTTTAATATTCTAGCGCGACTTGCCTTACTCGATTAGAAACGCTTGGTTCTTAACATTTATCGTACGCTGTGTCGACTGAACGGCCGAATACACACGGACGCGTGACGTTCTCGCTTGTGTGGTGCTCGTATGGTGGGGGCCCTGCCTTTCACGTTGTTTGCAGTTGTTTGTTGCACGGAGCTCGAGTTCGCATTTCTTTTTTACCATTCCGGAAAATGGATGTAACACGGACATGAACCAACCAGGGCTTTTTTACCATCTCGGAAAATGGATGTGGCCATGTAGTTCTAGGCAGGCTGTAAAATGGATGTACGCGCCGCTAGTGTACGGCCTAGTAAAAGCGTCGTACGAAAAACGGCAGCGTGGCCCCTCTCAGGTTTCTCTCTGCTAGTAATGCTTTTTCTAATTTTATTTAGTTAACTAAATTTGACGATTTAATTAAAACTTTTGTTAAAATCATAATATATTCTGTAGTTTTTTTTTTTTGAATAAAATACAAATAAACCATTATAATCTGTTAAATAAGAAATAGTACTACCGTTATGTCTGTATTTACGGCTCCATGGGACACAAAGAGATAAAAACACACGTAACGTTACGGACGAAATACCTAGTAACTTTTGCGGACTTCAGGTGCGGATTACGGATTACTGTATGTGACGGGCTGTATGTGACGGCACTTTAATAATTCATTTAATAATTACGCGGTGCGTCATGTTGATTACTGCACTAAAACGTTCTTTATACTTACTTACACTAGGTCTGTTCTTTATAGCTAAACTGGCTGCACTAGTTCAGAGTTTATCTTTTTCCCTTTACATTGGAAGGAGAAAGATAAACTCTGAACTAGTGCAGCCAGTTCAGCTATAAAGTATGTTTTCCAGCAAAGGACACAAGTTGACACAAATCGACACAAGCATTACTCTGTCTTTGTTCGATATTCAATGAGCAACAGAGAGAATAATACTTTTGTGTCGCTTGTGTCTCTTGGTGGAAAACTACCAAATAACAGACCTACTAACTTGTCCCCGCTTGCACTATTTCAATTCAGTTCAGTGCAGTGTGAACTCAGTGCAGCAATAAAGAACAAACCTAATGTCAAGTCCAAAAGTTTTGCTGCGTTCTGCGCAGGCGCAGCGACGGATAAAGTGAGACAGCTTGCCTCGAAACTTTATCTATCTCAACCACGTTTTCCATCCACGGGTTGTTTATGTCAGTGCCTCTTCCAGTATACTTATATTTTAGTGCTGCTATGAAGATTATTATTATTTTTCCATTTAGATAAACGTACGAGACAGAATATAAACATTACTTGTTACTCTCTCGGCTCGGAGCCAGGCAAATCTCTACTCGGTGCTCATTCCAGTATGTATAAAGTTTACTGAATAAAATAATTTTTTTATAGTCTCGTCCAATGTATATAAATTCTTATATAATGTATAATAAAAATTGACACTACATCAATATCCAGCAAAATCATGGAAGAAAGAAATAACAAAAGAAAGTATTTACAATAGAAAAAGTTTAGTTCACAATGGAGAAAATAATAGGAATAGAAATAAATATTGATTACTTTTTTACAAATTTATAAAGTAAGCCGATTGCATAAACCCAAGCATCGATTTTTCTGCAAACAAAATTTGTCAAACAGTTTGAAATATTTAATTTCTATTTTATATTAAATATTCGATGGCCTTATCTTTGTGCGGATTGTATGAATATGCCTTAAAGTATGCGCATGCGCGGGAATAGCTATGATCAGAGATTACTACGTAAACGGTTCGTTGATGGTTGTGATCGTAGTTCATGTAGTTTCTAATTTTCTGTTGGTGGTCAATTATTCGTGTTTGTGTCTCTCGTATGACGTCCGGTGAAATTTTGTCGCGGGGCTGTGCGCTATTCACATTCCTCATCGAGAGATATACTCTGCCAGGATGCCGAAGAGGAAGAATCAGACACTCATAGATTCCGACAGTAGCGGGAGCGCATCGGAAAGCGGCTCAGACTTGGATAATGTAAATAGCCTAACCTTTCCAGCATAAAAAACCTATAGTCATTCATTTTCGCGGTTCTTTAACATTCGCAGATTTTTAGGCCTGAACTATAAGGTGCTTCTTGCGTATTGTTTCTTACTCCTTGCCTATCGTATTTTTGCTTTTTGCGTGTTTGTCGCATGGAGTCAAGAAACACTGTAATTTATAATTTCTCCTTTCAAAATTTCTGAAGAAAAATATGCCTTTACATAAAGGCAAAAAGGCAGAAAACAAAAATTAAAAAACTCATTGTAGATTGGGCTTTGATGCACGACAAACTTCGAAGTATGTTTAAGTGTTTGAAGTAACTTTTCATAATCTATGGCAATACCTAATAAATTAATGCACTTTTAGTTCTTATCGTAAATAACGTTTATTTGTTAGACAAATGGATTTATCATATTCTAAAACAATTTTTTGAAACTTTTCCTTAACACAGCTGCCATTGGAATTTCTTTAGCAATTTTATTATGGTAATTCAAAACTGATTATATATTTTTTTATCTATACTTTATCAGGATTTATTATCACTGGCAAAGAAAAAAAAAGGAATTTCCCAAGATGATTCTCAATCAAACGAAGATAATGGATCCATTAAGAAAGAAGCTAAACATGACTCAAACACAGACTCAGAATCTGAAAACAACTGGGCCAATAAGACTGGAAAAACAAAGAAAAAGAAAGTGTCAGCGAAAAGAAGCAAACGAAAGATGACAAAATCTAGCACAGAGGATAGTGCCAGTGAAAAGGAACCAGCTAAACAACATTCAGAGCCAGAAGAAGGTATTTAAAAATTAAATATACTTTATAAATGTTTTGCAGTTTAAATGTATATGGTTCTTATAAATCTTTCTAATATTGTGATAATGATTAATAATTATACATTTGTAATAGGTGAAGTATCTGATTCTGATGCAAGTGTTTCCGACTCCAGTCAAGAAGAATTCAATGATGGTTACGATGATAAACTCATGGGAGATGCTGAGGATCAAGCTAGACTTGCTCAAATGACTGAGAAAGAGCGTGAACAGGAAATTTTTAAGCGGATTGAACAACGTGAAATTATGAAGACAAGATTTGAAATTGAGAAGAAACTGAGGATGGCCAAGAAACAGGAATTAAAGAAACAAAAGGAATCGAAAAAGAAAGAAAAAGGCATTGAAGAGAAACAGAAAGTGGATAGAGCGCCAGATCCTAAAGAGAGAAGTAAGGATCGTAAAAAGACGATTGAAGAAAAGCAAGACAAAAAGTTCCATGCAATGTCATTGCTTAAAGCCAGACGTGAAGAAAAGAAAGAACGAGGTAAGAACATTATCTGTAGATTAAAATTTCCTATATACACTTGATGCTTTTTAAATGCCGCTTTTAATTAGAGGAAAAAGAGAAACAGAGGATAGAGCAGCAACAACAACAATCGAAGGTTATGGAGGAAGAAGAATTGGACGATGATCATAAAGGCAGCGGAAATAAGACAAAACTTAAAGCGTCCGATATATATTCAGATGATAGCGGCTCATCAGACAGCGCAGAAGAAGAAGAAGTGACTAAACCGGCGTCTCAACGCAGATCGTCTTCGAGCGAGAGCCGCGATTCAGATTCCGATAATGATAAAAAGTCAGTTGATCTTTTGCTTTTTGCAGGTGAAATCTTTGATCTCTTTTTCTCGATTAATTTTACTTATGTTTAATAATATTTCAGATCGGTTACTAATAGTAAAGTTAAGCCGAAAAAACCTGTATACATCAGTACGAAGGAAGACCTAAACAAAATCCGACTGTCCCGCCACAAGATGGAGAGATTCGTTCATTTGCCTTTCTTTGATAGAGTAGTGCAAGGCTGCTTTGTTAGAATCGGAATCGGCAATAATAATGGTAAACCCGTTTATAGAGTAGCTGAGATAAGCGGTGTATGCGAGACGGGAAAGATTTATCAGCTTGGCGGCACGAGAACGAATAAGGGACTAAAATTGCGTCACGGCGCACAGGAACGTGTATTCAGGTTGGAGTTTGTTTCGAATCAGGAATTTACAGACTCTGAATTCTTTAAGTGGAAAGAGACGTGCGCGCTGCAAGGAATTTCCATGCCTACGTTCGACGAAGTAGAACAGAAGTTAAAGGATATTAAAGAGGCGTTGGTGTATGAATTTAAAGAGGAAGACATAGAAAAGATAGTCCGAGAGAAAGAGAGATTCAAGCAAACTCCCTATAATTATGCGATGAAGAAAGCCCAACTTATGAGGGAACGCGACGCAGCTAACTGCAGAGGAGATGACGAGACTGCTAGTCGTCTTAATCAAGAATTGAGTGAACTGGAGGAACGTGCATCCGAATTAGATAAAATGCGCACAGCAACCATTTCCAGTATATCGTATATAAATGATCGCAACAGAAAAAAGAATGTGGAAGAGGCTGAAAAGGCTATAATGGTAATTGTTAGGACATATTGTTTGTTTTGAATTAATGTCAATTCATTAATTGAAATAATTATAACAGGAAGAATTGAAGGCTAACAAAGGCAAGAAGATCGACGATCCGTTCACTAGACGAAGCACTAAACCCAGGATGGTTTATAAGCCAGATGATGAACCCGAGATAGTGACAACAGTCACGGTAAACGATAAGTTGAATTCTCATCCAGCTGGCGATTCTGTATCAACTGCTATTGATAAGGAAAATGGACAGGAGTCTAAGAAAAAGCAAAGTACGCAAGACCTGTTCAACGCGCATGATTTCGATATAACAATCGATTTGGAAGTTCCTATTCCAAGTAAGTTGCGCGACAAATATCATAATTATAAACTTTCTGAAATCTGAAAATTAGTCTACAAAAAGAAATCAATATTTATACAAAGGTACTGCACAGAGTATATATTTATATAACTGTGCATTTTATTTTTAGATAATCCTGTTAGTGTCCTACCAAAGCCTATTAACAACATCAAAGACACAGGACCTCGCCGATCGTTAAATCTAGAAGATTACAAAAAGAAACGCGGTCTTATCTAACAGTTCATATGTCTTAGACAACGTAAAGACATGATAAGGTTAAGTTGCCGAGGTAGTCTTGTAATAATTAACGATATCCCCTCGTTTACTGAATGTTCCGATTGATAGAGTTGTACTGATTGACTGAGAAGTTTATTTATAACATTTGTAGCATTATATTATTACTAACGACTCCATCTGTTTAATATGTTGAGTGCTGATGATGGTTTGCTCATTTTATGCGCTGAATAGCTGTACTGTGATTACGTAATAAATAAAGGAACGTTAACGAAATACACAGATGCCTGGTGGTTTTTAGAGATTTATAATTAGAAGTTTAGACTTGGTATCACAGTTTTCCATCCATAGAGTATCAATAGGTGCTACCAGCATCCGTTCATAAATCACACTCAACATATTAAATATGGTTCCAATTACGACCAAGCGGTTCCTATTGCATAAAATTGCCAGTGAATATATTACGAACTATGTTACGAGAAACAATTATATCACAAACAATGATTGAAGCTTTGAGCGTTACGGTACTTAACGGACGAGATGTTTTATGGATATCGAGAAGAATACAACGCTTTGTTTTACATCTTCCAATGCTATAACACGTTCATGTATTTTATACATGAATAAGAAACCATAAGGAGGAAGAAAGATGTATTTGTACCTATAATGACAAAATCACATTTGCCAAATAATTAAACTTCTTATAAATAGAAATATCATTTGTATGAAAAACGATTCCAATTATAGTACAATGACACAGATGGCGATTTTATGTTGTATATGATAGAAAAAAATTTCAGTGAAAAGCCACTTTGTCAGAAAATGGGATACATGTAGTTAACATAGATACTAACGCTATATCGATATCAATTAGTTTATATTTCTAAATTGCACATAGTCTATATGTATATTCCACTGCTGATATAGTTCACTGATGTACAGTACGTTATTATTTTTTAACATGTTTCGCAATTTATACTGCCAATATCATTTCAATATTTTCTATTGCAAAACGAAATTGTACATAAATATTTGAATATTGTCAAATTATGATTTTTTATAATTTGAAGTCTTAAATATTAACATTGTAATATTATTATATAGGACAATGAAATTGTTAGGAATTTTTTTTATCAATATTAATTATGTCATCTAAGTTAAAAGAAACTAGCTGATATTAACTAATATAATAAAATAGGCTAATATGTATCATTCATTTGATTAGATTATTTTTTTACGAATTTAAAAACGATACAATACATTATGAGTTTGTAATTTCTATTTATGATTTTGATATGTAGAAAATATCTACGTGAAAAATGAAAATTGTGTACTTTATTGCAACAAGATACTTTCATTATCCATAGATTTTTTGTTTTGTACTGTTGAAATTGTATATACATGTATTTAGAAATATATTTTTGTTTTAAGATAGATGTACATGTAGTATTTTAGGAACATCTTTCTTTTCATCGTTTGATTGCTATGTTTTTTATTGAAAAATTGTTTCAAAGAGATCGTAATCGTGAAAAGAATTCTGAGTGCATTATAATTGTAGAGAGCAATCAATGTATTTCTGTAATATATTATTTGTATGAAATATTTACGTAGAGATTAGGGCGCCGGAACATTAACGTAGAGTAAACATAACACTATTTGTAATACTCAAAAACGAGGAATGAGTAAGATTACAAAAAAATTAAGCTCTCTTATATATTAAATATATTTTTTTTTAGATATATCGAAATACATGTAAGACTTGATATTTCTAATGTAGCAATAGCTTTTTATTCGATGATACGTTATTATTGTAATATATCTAACGTGGATTTCATTATTATATATTCTATCATGTGTTTCCTCTTCTATCATATTGTAATAGGTTTTATCGCTACAATATATTAAACAACAAATTAAAAGCATGTATAAATCATTACTACTGACGATTATATTTACTGCAAATTGTAAAGAGTGTTTATTTAGAAAACATTAATTTTTAATTTTTTTATAATGAACATGTAACTGCATTTGTCATTCTTGCCTACGAAGATAACGCGTTTATTATAAAGTGTATAATTACTAACAGTATTAAAAAGAAAACATACATACACAAAACTGCGTACGTATACTCGCATTCTTCGCTTATTCTATTAGATATGTTAAATCCAAAAGATGGGCATACCATGTTATATTCAAGATTGTACATTAAGTTGTTATACTTTTTTATTATTCGATGCTTTTGTACCAAATGTTTCAGTCTAATCAGTATTTCCTATCATCTTTTTACTTGTGTGTGTAATTTATCCGAATAAGGTTCAAATGTAAAAATGTATTAAATTTTTTTATCAGCGCGATTGGTGCCAAAAATTTCAATACGTTCTTGATGCATTCTATTTTATCGACTGAGCGGTGCACTCGAACGCGACGCAGTCGCGCATTTCAAAATGTGAAGATTCACGGCGCGCAGTCGCGACATGTGTGCGCCCCGACAGATCGTTCGCACGCTGGCTGCCCATATAAGGTAATTTCCCCACGTCCCTGGCGGCGATTGGGCCACGCGACTGCATGTCCCGCGTCAATGACTAATTCCGCTCGAAACGCGTGTCTGTAAATCGATTTTGCGTACGTATATGGGAAGACTGGCTCGAGAGCGCCGGCAGTCAATTGTTCCTTATCATCTAATATCGTGCGATCCGCTTATCGATATCATATCGATGTATACCGCCACGCATTGTATGGTCGCGTCGCGCAATGCCTCGTGAACATGTGCGTAGTACGCGACGTGTCCACCTGTCTGCCCGCCTCTCCATTTATCCATTCATCGCACTCGCTGTCTTGGTGGCCAGCGTCTCTCGTGAATGCCGAAGGCATTTGCAAAGTTGTGCAATTTTCTGTCTTCGCGAGCGTTTATTGTAACGTAATGTACAGTCGGCGCGCAACCGCGAATTTTTCGATGACGCGTGCATAGGATGAGGGCCGGCACGCGGGCCAATCAGCGCGGCCGATCGCGATGGCGCTGCGCGCGCAGGCGTAGGGATACAGGATTCACGGGGAGCGAGAGAGAGGGACGGAGTGTTAAGAGAGAGCCGGCTGGTCGTGAGAGAGGAGCCTCCCTTCCCGTTTCGCCCGTAAGCCAGCCGCGCGACCCCTTCGACTGGACACTACGCCGCTATCCAGTTCCATCACGGCCGAGATACTCCGGTAAAGTGTCGGTTAAAGTGCTCATTCACGTGACTCTGCCCACCGGCTACACGGCTACCTACGGAAAATGGTAAATATCCGGCAAATGCGAAAATGTATTGCGCGACGTATCCGCGTATCAGCCGCCCGGCGACGTCTCTAAACGCGCGACGGTGACGGCGGCGCGCTCCGTGCGCAACGGGCGAGGCCGCCCGGCATCTCGACGACGGTACTTTTTTGTGGTTATGGCCGCCAGCAGACGCGCCGGTCGCCATTTCTGCCTGTGCAGGCCCCGGCACGACGGAGATACGCCTCCTTTCCTCGCGAGACCGGAAGAGGAATTCGGCATCGTCGTGTTGCGTTTCTCGTTTGACGACGATGATGAGCAACGATCTTTGCTCCTCGACCGGTCGTTATACTCGATTCCTCGTCTTTTTCATTTGCGTACATGTTTGCCCCCCTTCGAGTGCAAATTCCTTGGCGGCGATACTTGCGATAATGCGCGCAGTCTCGCCGTTACTTCCAGGAAGCGTATGATTCATCTCCGCTCTGGCAAGCCGATTGACCGATCGTCTAAAATCGCGCGTCACCGTGCACCGATGTGAGATCGTGCTTTTGTGCTGGGTGCGATTGCGTTTTCTCTTGCTCTTTGTCTCATGCTTTCTCGCTCTCCTTCTCTCTCGATTCCTATCTCTTTCGCCTTTCCGAGCGGTGCATCCGATTGTAACCGGTACGACTTTCCGTTTAACTTTTCAGTGTGTTGCCAAGAAGAGATACACGACTCGCGCCTTAATCGTGATTCGTTTCGTAACTAATTAACATTACAATTTTCGTTCTGCTTAACTCTGTCTTGAAAAGAGAAAGTCACTAGTGACAGAATTTATTTCGATGCTGCATCGAAAACACCTCTACACTTGTTGAAGTTGCTTCAGGACATTCCAAAAATATATCGCGATATGTTGTTCGAGTAAAGAATCGTCCTCGGCAGCTCCGTCCTTGATTCATCGTACAATCATAATATTGTTGATGCTGTGCATCTGTACAAATCCAGTAGAATAGACAGCGACAATATGTTTATCGGCCGGTCTACTATCTGTCGTTAAAAAAAAAAGTTGACTGCTCGCACGCGGCACGCCCGGCTTCGTTGTATCGAAGATATCGCCTACTATCAAGCTCCACTTAGATAGGAGTGGGGGGGGAGGAGGGGTGTCATGGTGTATTATTTTTATCCTGAGACGTATTCAAAAGCGATTTTCTTCAGTTTTTCGGGCAGATTTATTGAAATTTGTTTCGTATGTGCATTTAAAGAATGTTTAAAAAATTTTATAACACATAAAATATATAAATATAACACGTACACTAAAATTTCGTGTAAGCTCGAGGCACATCACGATTTGTGAAATATCGAATAACACTAATAATAAATAAAATTCCAGGATTGAAGAAACAAGACTTTGGGACTCTGTTGATTAATAAATTCGTGTGAGAAGGAAGCATCACGTATTTATTTCGGTCGGTGTTTCAAGTCGCGCGTGTCATGTTGTCGCTGTCTATTTCTATTCGAATATTCACTCGTTCCGTGCCACTGAGAGAGAGAGAGAGCGAGGGGAGGAGAGAGAGAGAGAGAGAGAGAGAGAAATCGTCAACGAGCTCACGCATTATCTCGATTCGCTGAAGCGTATTGCGATCTATTAGTAATTTGCGATGAGACATGCTGTAGATTACCGTTGTTAACAAGACAGTAAACCTATTCTTTTTAATTGCACTTTTTAATTCCAAATAAGCACATGTTCAGACATTTGAGGAAAAAAAGAAAGAATAGTTGGAAAAGTCAATTTCTGATCAATGAAAATCGGATAAATACATGAAAAGTGTTTTGTATTATTTTGATTGCCATAAAAAATGTGTCAAAATTTATGTTAAGATAATCGAGAAAGCTTTCGAGCTGTTAATCGATTTCTATTATCACACCATCGCATCGAATACATCAAGCATATGCGGTGCATGTTATTATAATTAGCTTGAAACGCGTCACAATTTATGAAAAATCTCACAAGTGCATAAAGCGAATCGAGTTTCAAACCGATTTTGCCATATATCGATTAACCCTTACGATTTGTAAAATACTAACTTATAAATAAACATCCAGAATCGAAGAAACAAAGATTTTCAGTATCTCTCGATTAACAAATTTGTGTGCGAAGGAAGAATCATGTATTAATTTCTCTCTATTAATTTAATTTACCTTTCGATTTTTTTATGATGGATATAATAGAGATAATAATTTGCAAGAGTTTTACTTTTAAAGAATAACAAATATTATACGATAATTGAAAGAACATGTTTTATTTTATTATTAAAAAGTTTGATTTTATTTTTAACAATATTCAAAGTTTGTCGCAAAAATAATGTTTAACCGAATATTATAATTTTATGTTGTAGTTAGTTGTTCTTTTATCAGCTTCTTTTGACATATTGACACTTTCTCGAATGTCACCCTGCAAAATTCAAACCACTGACGACACGACTCCGGTAAGCGTGACTGATGCGATGGGAAGAGAGAGAGAGAGAGAGAGAGAGAGAGAGAGAGAGAGAGAGAGAGCGCTTACGCAAAATTGCAAAACAAAAATAAATGAATGTGCGATAAGTGAGACGTCTAAGTAGTTTATCGCGAAAAATTGCAATTGCGTTGTTCAACGACGATTGTGTTTCCTTTATCAAAACCACTTGCGGCTCGCGTGGATATAAATAAGAGTACGACTCAGAGCGGAGAGTCGCGCGCTATCATGCGGCGCATTGCTGCCGCGTTGTTTCCCATCCGCGCGATCAAACACGACCTTAACTCTTTCGCGACTACGGCACTACCTTTTCGCCGTCGACCTTACCGCCGTGAAATAGTTTATACAGTGGTGTGATGGTATCTCAACTCCGAGCAAAACTTCACTGTCCAAATACGACTCGTCGCGGAAACATCGGGTACTTGTTTCAGCTGGAAACCTCGCGACAAAACGCATACTTCATGTTAAGATAACTCGATAATAACAAACTTCACAATGGAACGCGAAGAATCGCGTCTTGAAACTTAGTGAGATTCTTGTGAAAAATATATATTTCTAGGTGTGCAATTTTCAACATTTTTTCTCGTCAATTTTTCATCGTTTTTTATTGAATATATTCATATCTGTCTTCTGAGAGTTGACTCTGATTGCGAAATTGTTCCCTTTCTCTCCTCTGATATTCTTTCGCTTCTGCCGGCACTTGGTGGATGACAGTGAACTAGAGAGAGGAACAGTGCACGCTGCAGCGCCGGTGTGCCGGTAGCGCGAGAAGAGAGGGAAAAATTCAATGAGCCTGTAAGGAGGTCGGTTATTTTCTTGCGGGCCAGCGACTCTCGAAGTTCACTGACGTCTCTTACGCGAACGCGGCGAACCGCCAGTTGATTAACCTTTCGCCATTACGACGGTTTTAACGCCGCGTTTAAAAATCGCGCGACAGATTTATAGTGACGTTTCCCCGCGGTCGAATTTCATCGATAAGAGATGTAAAATAAAAGCTGCGTGCGACAAATATTCCTTAAATCGATAATAATCAATTATAATTTTGTTTCTTTTCTCTTATTCGCACTTGTTTACGCGTAAGCTGAAATACGCTAAATATTTGTTATTTCAAATGTAGAAACTACAATTATACAAAATGTAGTTAGAACGAGTTGATTTATCGCTCGGAATGTTACACGAAGTTAGCTGAGCCCGATGAATCATTTTTCGCTTGACCTTGTGTGCGCGATTTGAGCTCGAGAAGGCCTACAACACGCCCCAGAAGAGGGAGCAGTACTCTCCGCTATCATCCCTTTAACCGGTGTCCCTTGTCGCCGCCGCCGCCCCGTCAGGATATCGACCCAGAAGTTGCATCCTCGGCGTTTGCCGGCCGCTCCCCCAACCGTCGCACTTCTCGCAGGACCCCTTCGCACCCCGATTCTCATCCGACCCGCAGTCCTTCAGTCATGTAGAACAGTCAGGGCGATACGTTGGTGTTAGTATCGGCTATTGAGCGCATCCATATTTGAGCATCCTTCTCTCGCCGGAATTGTCGATCATAAATCTACATTGCGAATCTTTATTCGTTCGCTTTTGTGAAATCCGAACCGATGCCTGCACTGTCGTTGCGGATTACGGCTCAACGGTTTGACTATCGTCTCGAATATAATTAAGTATCTTATTTTGAAGTTGGAAATAATATCATACACGCGAATGTTATAATTCTCAAGAAAATACAGGCGTTATCCGTGTACGCGTGACGTGGCAGTTTGAGTGCCACTTGTTTACTCTTCGAGTGCCAATTTTACCTTCATGCATGTGCCAGAAGTTGGGAAAATGATTCGCAATAATGTAGAACATTGGATTTTTTTAAAAAGGATAATATTGAAAATTTTTAAATTTTTAGACTCGAGAAAATTTCGCAAGTATTTTCGCCATTTTTAATTGTAGGTATTCGCTCCGTTTGTATCCGGCTACAAAAACATCCATTAGTTGTATTTCGCTAATTTCCACGGCGCGGAGACGAACGGAGTCGAAAGCTCGTATCGCGTGGCACGTGCTCGCGAATCAGGGGATAACTTTAGAAGTGGATCGTCAGATCTCTTTTAGCTCGGGATTCGCGCGTGGGAAGAATTTATTTCGGTAGCGTAGTCCATATAATTTTGTCCGCGAAATAAGTTCAAACGGGGGCCCCTCAATTGACACGGCAAACACGGCGTGCCGATTGCCAAATCTCGACGTATCAAATTGACGCGAGATGTCGCAATATCTGTATCAATTAACTTAGCCGTGGCAGAACGCGATAGTCACTCAGCAGAAATTCGCACCATTTTTTTTTCATCACAGCATGGATATACCGAGAAAAATGAATTCACGGTTCTGTACATATTTAGTCTTTTTAATAAAGTAAAATGAAACTTGGACGAGATAAAATGTCGAGATTTAAAAAATATTTTGTAAATTGAAAAGAAAATATCTTGAAATATATATACGACGATAACTGCATCGATATGTCACTTGGTATTTCTAGAAAACACCGACAAGCATCAGCTGAGTCATCGCGAACTCATATCTCGCTTCTTTCTCATTATCCATAATAAATGATATCTATCGATGTTTCATTAGGCATCTGGCGTGACGGTCGCAGACGTTTGTAAGACAACGTACGAGGAGATAAAGAAAGACAAAAAGCACCGGTATGTGATCTTCTACATTAAAGACGAGAGACAGATAGATGTGGAAGTCATCGGACCTCGTGATGCGGCTTACGACGCCTTCCTCGAAGATCTGCAAAAAGGCGGTAGCGGGGAGTGCCGTTATGGTCTGTTCGACTTTGAGTATACTCATCAGTGTCAGGGTACTTCCGAGGTAATTATTAATAGTATTCTCTGTGATATACATATTTCAAGTGCAACGAAAGCCTTCTCCCAACAGAAAGTCTTGGATGTATCATCATTACTGTTCTTTTTTTTTTTTACAGGCATCCAAGAAACAAAAATTATTCCTGATGTCGTGGTGTCCTGACACGGCCAAGGTCAAGAAGAAGATGTTGTACTCGAGTTCCTTCGATGCTCTGAAAAAGTCGTTGGTCGGTGTACAAAAGTACATACAGGCGACAGATCTGTCGGAGGCTTCCGAGGAGGCTGTCGAGGAGAAACTTCGAGCCACCGACAGAAATTAGGAGTATTCCAGCGAATCCCAAAACTACTATTACGAGATAAGAAAAAGAAAGCCAAGTGGAATACGATACATCGCGAATTAACTTCCCAAAAACAGAAAAAAAAAACAGTAATTCTCTATACTGTCGTTGCATCGAGGGTTCACGTTTTTACACATTTTTCACTTTTAAACGAGACCGTTTATCAAGTATTTTATGCTACATATGTTAGTCATCAGGGGAGTGGAAGCATTATTAGCAAAAGTGAACAAGAATGAGAAAAAAAGAATAAACAGCGGGAGATAAGCACTCTTTTTCATAATCGCGGACATTATGTGAATCTATCTGATATAATATTAATATTATACTATTATTATATAAGATAATTGTACAAGAATACAAGACAATTTACAACCAGTCAAGCAGTAAAAGAACGGAATTATTACATTTTTTTTCTCACAGGCTGTACGACGTTTAAATTAAATTCATTTTATTATGATTCGGCGATATCCATTATATTCCCCACATTCGCATGTTTTTCATCAAGTATTTCGCACAAAATTAGAAGATACAAAAGGTGTGGTGAGACAAATAAAATATGTAAAAAAATATTAATTGATAATGCAGACTTCAATCTTGTCATGGAGGTCACTGCGGTTTACCGGAATGAGATTCTGCGCAAAGCAAAGTCGCGCCAACTGGATTCAACTGACGGTACTGGTTCTTTAAATGGTAAAGAATTTTCTTCTAAACTGTGCAGTAAAAGAGCTTATCAACGAATTCAGTTCACAGATATATTTCAAGTCTTGTTGGTGTCCATTTTGTTTATCGTAAATTACATAAATTGTCTATAATTGCGCGACTAATTTTTTAGATAAAATCACAAAACGTTTATATAAAAAATTTGTATCAAATTTTTTTTGGGTTGCGTCGTCTTCAAGAATGGAATTTACTGAACGAATGATGCGACTGATAAGGACGACACGTTCAATGACAGTCCGTACCTTTAGGCATAAATTAATATGGTTCATTTTACATTTTTTCGCACTTTACATAATCTTAAAATCTATTGTTGAATGTTATAATTAAGGTACATAACGTATTTAATATCAACAATAAGGCTCTCGCTTGATTATACATTGACCGATTTGCATCCGCTTTCAAGAGATGGGGCTTCGTCATGGATATTACTATAGCAACAAACAAGCAACGTAAACTATTAATTCACACAAATAAACAACATGCACACTGTTAACTTACAGCAAACAAACAACACATCAAACTATTCATTTACAAACAACACGTCAAAAAATTATCAACTTTTATTATTTTATATCTCAAGAATTCTTTCGTTACTTTGGTTCTTATTTTTAAAGATGGTTAGCGATTAACCAGATGAAGATTAATTTCAAATTAAATCGCCATATTTACCTGGCAATTTGTCCTGCTCTTGACCGTCATTTGTCTCAAAATTTTCGCTGGAATCGACAACTGCAACGTGCAAAATAAAGCGCGATATATCTCTGCGATATTGAGTATATTGTGATAAGAAGGACAGCGATATATAGCGAATGTATGCGCGAACGACTTATCTTTATTACTTACGGGCTCCTTCAGTGTGGAAGCGCACTATCTCCGAGGGATGGCTCCATCCGTAATGATTTCTGGACAAAACGACCGCCTCGTAATGGGTCGCCGCGTCCAGGCCCGTCAGATTAAAGGAGCGAACGTGCACCGAGCTGATGCCGGGTATATACCAGTTGTCGTTGTTACCGGGTATAAATAATTTGCGCCATTCGCCGCCATTACCTCTCTATTATACATTAACATAAATTAACATAAAAAAGACTACAAGAACCAAAGCGCAAAAAAAAAAAAAAATTGCTTCATCAATCAGTACAAAGCGACGATACAGTTATCGAAACGTTTCAATCTCAATTTCGAATTCCCTTTTCAATCTAATAGGATTGTAACGACGATATGATTATCACGCATAAATAATGTGTGGCAGTTAAAAATGAGTATTTAAATTTCATTAATAAAATACCAAAATCTGTTTTTAAAGAGCCAAGCAAGCGCAGGTCGCAGAAGATTTATTTTTTATCAAATATTTCATTATATTTGAAGTTAATGTGTTCTAATTCTACATTTTGTCACCTTTTTTTCTAACTTTCGATTTTCATGTAATTTCACATGTTAGCATTTATACCTTTTCTTCAGCTTTCTTTTTTGCCGTCTTTTCGCGGACCGATCAAAATAAAAAGAACTACAAGATTCGAATAAAAAGAATAAAAAGAGTACAAAATTCACAATATTATATGGTGGAAGATTCTAATAATAACGGCACCAAAATTACCCTTTCGTTCAATTGTGTTTCTACAATTGCCTTTGCATGTACAGCAACCATCGAAATCATAACGTGAGCGACGCACGAAATAGATTCTTTATTCTGAGAAATCAGATGGTTGGTTTACTTTACGTTGATTTTCTCGACATTACACGTGGGAGGCTGTGCTTTTTTAATGATTGATGAATCAACTGTTTTTCATGAAATCTCACCTTGTATTTACGAAACCAGAACTGATATTCGATGACGGGACTGTAACTGTCGACTTGCCAGATAAAATTGTACGACGTTCTGGACGTGCCGTCTTCTTCTCGAAGACCGGCCTTCTTGAATACCGCCGGATTCGCGATTCCCGACAGCTCTATGTTCTTCTCCGTAGTTCCTAAGGAATTCGATGCTTTGCAGCGGTAGGAACCGTAATCGCTCGATTGCACTACTCTTATCAAGAGATTGTGATCGCTTCCGACGTTGTGCTTCACTATTCGCGACGTGTATGTCAATGTTTTGTTCTTCAGGTACCATTCAACCTGGAAAAACGGCAATTAACGAAATAAGACGTAAGGACAAGTTGTAATTTCCGTAATTTATATCCCTACATTAATTTAACTTAATATACGCTTATCTAATCTTTTTTATAAAGAGACAGTATTGCGGCAACATAACTCTGCCTGGCTCACTTGGTACTTTTTTTTGCGGGAAAATAAAAAAAAAGAACATCATAAGTCACGTGCCCCAGCGAATCGATTTGTCACGTGCGACTGGCTTTAAGGGATCACAGTGAGAAATTGCTCGGCAGATAGGAGAGGCAGGTTTCATTTAGTTACCGAGCGAAGGACTCGTTGAAATCTTGAAGAGAGACGATTTCTCGTACACACCAGGAAAATATTTCGTATTTGTATTAGACGTTCGAGGGAGAGCCGTCGATCGATTGCATCGTGCACTCCGATACCGTATGACGTAAGAGATCAAGTTTTTAATCGCAGCTTTGTAATCCGTTTTCGGAACGCGAGCGTGAATTTATTTTTACAATATATACCTATGCGGGATTCGAAGCCCCTGTCCCTTTTTTTAGGTCCCTTTTTCATCTTTCAAAGTATTTCACGTCGTTTAGGAGTTTAATGAAGCTGTCGAGATTATTCAACCGGCGCGAGTAATCACGCGGATACAATTTCTCATTGGCCTTTTGCAAAAGAGAGGTGAATTAACTATTTATTCTCGGGAAAATAAATCCCTTTCGCCCATTTCGACTTGTATATTTTTCACGGAGGATTCTGAGCGGGATTTAAGAGCTGCGCTCTAAAAAAAAAGGGCGCACTAAAATACGGCTTTTATACTCCACAGTGCAGGCGTCTCCGCTGCTAAAGTCCGCTTCTGCATTTGCGAAAGTAATTAAAAGTCCAAGCTGCGCCGTTGAAGCGCACGTGCATCGCCGTTGCGTTAATTACTGTTCGAACTGTTAATTAACCACGCGGCAATTACACTTGGTGTTGACAGTCTTAGAGAGAGATAGTTCCTCACCTTAGCCTCAGGCCAAGCGATCACTCTGCAAGTTAGCTGTACTCGTATTCCCGGATATGCGTGTACCCATTGCTTCTCCGCGTAGATCTCCGGTTTGTCTGCACCGATTTCACCACGTCAATATTCAGACAGAACAATGAAATTGTAAAGAGGGAAAAAATGACACGGTGAGAAAAGAAATATTTATTGTTATATATTCAATCGTTTAATCAAAGATGCATGCAATTTTGTACTTTGTAGCTTTGAAGTTGTTTTTGAAACGCATATAAAATCTTTTTGATACCACGAGAGCGGATTGTTAGATTGTAACGTTATGAAGGTTGATTAATGTCTGCAAAACACTCGCTGCGAATGCGCAATGAACATAATGGACTCACTCGTGTGTGTTGGATTAGAATACTAAAGAGACCAATCTGCAACAATTTCTTAATTATGTTGTTGCACAGTGCAGAAAGGATAAAGTGCGATTTACATGATCGTTTTGATGTGGGTGATCGTAATTAAACTGCCGATTAATTATAAGTGCACTCGATGCAATTTTGCGAAACTTGTGTTACAACTGTAATAAATGAACAAATGCGAACATTCACATGCAAAGAAAATTGTAGTGAGATGAGCGCGAAGGACACAAACTCGAGATAAAAAGGGTAAACAATTCCGAGGTAAAAAATAAGAAAATTTCACGAAAAAAAGAAAAGTAAAGTTACAAATCTCCGGGAAATATAAGGAAAATTGTGATATGAGCGGAAAACTTGCTGGCTAAATTTCTTTTAAAGCGTAAATAAAGTATACAGAAAAATCAGAAGATTATTAAGTATTTTTCATTATTTAATAAAATGCGAAAGGTATATAGCAGTTTAAAGGGGATGTTCCGTAGAAGAATTTGCGCAAATTCTTTTTACGTATTTAAGAATATACGTTCGAATTGACAAATCGACTCACATCTAATACGCAGATCTATGTGCGCCATGGCGGGATCGCCGATTTTGTTATCGGCAATGCAAGTGTATTTGCCGGAAAGATTCCGATTGTCAGCGTGAAATCTCAATTGCGGTCTGGCGTCCAACAACGGGATCACTTCGTCCTGCGAAGAAGAGAAAGACGACGCGATGCGCTTTACCTTTCGTAAAACACACGATCCACTTCAATATAATTGGCTTATTGTACGAGGCAGGCGTTTTCGCTGCGCGAGAAACGGAGGCTTGCGCTACTTTTTTTCTTTTTTCCTACTTTTCTGTTTTTTTCTCTTTCTTCCTCTTTTTTTTTACCGAAAACACTTCTCGTTGTTACTCTTTCGCACTAATCATTTAATATCATCGGCATGGACGATAATGTGACGGAGGATATCGATTACCTTGGTCATCCAAGTTATGACGGGGCTCGGTACTCCCTCCGCCACGCATTGCATGTCCACCGTCTCGCCGAAATTGACTTCCAACTGGCCGGACTCTGGCACTGTCTTCACACTCGATGGATCTAGAAAGAAAAAAAAAAACGGATGAATAAATTTCTCGTTATATTATCAGCCGGCTTTACGTTGTCTTGCACTTATGTAAAATTCAGACCTTCGCCACATTCGACAGATAAGAATTCTGAGAAAGGTACAAAATGGATAAAAAAAAAACATTTGCATATCTCACCTTTTTTGGAATAATTTTGCACGAAAAAATATCACTTCCAGATGTTTTTATCGAAATAAGTTGTTTTTATTTGCATTAAAATGAAACACTTTGCGGCCAAACATTTTTCGTCTTTGCGCAAAAGTAATTTCGAAAAAAATGTCGCGTGTAAATGCATTTTTTACTGACTCTAAGCGGGGAAGCGATTCTAGATAAGAGCCGAAAGAAGATCGATGGACGAATGTCCGGTTTGGATGCGCGAATACGAGGCTCTCGGAGAATCCCCTTTCGACGCGTCGATTTGTCTCGGGATGTATAGAGATGGATTCCCTGTTGGGACGCGGTGCAAGAGGGAGAAACGCCTATCTCGGTTCACATCGTGACGGAGGCGTACTCACACATCACTTCGATCTCGTGTACTTGCGTAACGTATCCCCAGGGAATCGGCCGGATCGTCTGACACACATACTGGCCACTGTCTTCCTGTTGCACGTTGCGGATCTGCAGGCTACCGTTGCCATACAGGGTGACCTTATCGTTCGATAGCTTCTGGTCGTAGCTGTCGACCAGCAGGTTCCCCTCTCGCCACCACTTCACCCTGGGCTTTTCCGCGTCTACAGAAATAACAACCGTTTCCGTACGCTCCGACAAATATCGTCCTAAAACTTACATCCTAAGGCCGACATTCGACGCGGGATAGTTATTATCTACTGACAAGTCGAGAGGAAAGCGGATCGTCGGTGGAGCTTTTTCCATCCCGTTTAAAATAATGCAAAGAGAGAACGAGAAAAGAAAACAAACTTGCAAATTTGTAAATAGTAACGTTTTATCTTAATTAAGGTCGGTATTCATAGTCCGTTCTTATTCCAAGATTATCCTAAGTACTGTCTTAAGATATTAATATAGCTTTCTGATTGGTTCGTAGCATCTTAAGATTACTTAAGACAATCACAATTAAATATAAGAACGGACTATAAATACCGTCCTAAGTAAAGCTTCACCGCACACAAAAGACTCATGACGAAACATTGACGCTTTGTAGCGAGATGAAACATACTAGTGTGGCTGTGTGAGCGGAAATATCTGTACCCTCTTTTTCACTCACCCGTGCCACTTTATCCTGATTTTGCACGCCCGCATAGGTAAAAATAACGATGTTTCAAAAGACACTCTCGCGTTATCACGGTGATGCGATTACGGTTTGGGCAGAGTGTCAGGCAATTTTTTACAAAGGTAGAATGCAAAAAGTATAGATAGAGTTGACAAAATGAGAAAACCACATGGAGAAGAGAGATGTAGAGAAACTGAGTAATTAACACGTTGAATGCCACGCTTTTATATGTCTTATCCACCAGGCCTCAATTATTATTTTATGAAAACCGCCCGTCACGGATGACCCCGGTTTCACGTGTTAATCATTAGTCGGTACAAAAGGGAAGAAACGAAAAGAACGCGAAACTGAACGCATAACTGATCGTTAACAACGACACACTCGTACCCTGATTCTCCACGTTACACGGCAGCAATGTCGTTTCGTTCTCCATGATTTTTATTGGGTGATTTTGAAAGCTGCTCACGTTGTTCGTCGCAGCATAAGAGCCTACAACACACAATGTCAAGAAATATAATAATATAATAATAATTAAATTGCAGCATTTAACGGCAACCCTGCGCCAAGCGAATCGCCGCAAAACATTCGCGCTCTGCATTTTTTTTTTCTTCTCTTTCTTCCTTATTTGTTTTAATTCGAATAAAAATTCTCGCGTTTGTCCCGCACGCGTGCGTGACCGCGCAAAATTTATTTCCACAGTAATCTCGGACGTGCACGCGCGCGGAGATTCTTTTTCCCTTTTCTTTTTTTATGATCGATTACTATACATTACACCAGCGGCGTGCATAACACACTAGGCAACCTTCGCGTGGTATACAAAAATGAAACCACCTAGCGCGATTATCTCGCACCTCACGCACTTCTGGAAACTCTCGTCGGCCGGCCGGAACAGAATCGATTGCCGAAGTTGCGTGCGCTAGCGAACAAACGATGTGGCGCAAAGTTTTATTTATACCTCCGCAACAGTTTTTCTGCTCAAAAGAACATCGATTGATACACGAAAATGCGACAATAATTATACAACTTTGTGATGTAGATATTATAGTCCAATTTCCGTGCTATCTCAATTATGAGAGAGAGTGAATTGCTCGAATGTGTTCCTTGTTATCACGCGATGATTATCTAAAGTAAGAAAACAATAAAGTGGAAAACTGAATCAATCATTTGTATACGCCGCATGAGATTATATTTGTGCACGAAAAAAAAACTGTTATGAAATAAACATTTTCCTCACTTCTCAAAAATAATGTCCGTAATTTTGTTATATTTTTCTCTGTTGCAGATTCTGACGTCAGAAAAGTAATTTTGACAACATATTCTCACGTAAGTTGTTTCTCATTCTTGTGTTTTAATTCTTCTACGAGCGTAAATATTTGTAAAAATAATACACCGAAATTCGTAAAACAGCTCCAACAAAACACGTCATTCCCTAAAAGTATACGCCTCATAATTTCGATATTCACTAGTATATTTCGTATATTACCAATCGTGCAGATGTAAAATATCCAAATGTAGAGCACCATTTCTTGTAATTATATATGCGTTACACTGAAACTGTCGGTACACACGAACTTTGCATCGAAATTACACCGAAAAATAGTACTCAACCGTTTCTTTTCGTGCGCGCGATTTCCTCGGGTTTTCACGAGACACTGATCTCGCTTTAAGATGTGATTCGTGGTCTGTACGATCTTGACATACGCACACGCACCAAGGCATACACACGCACGTATCATCGCATCAAGACGCACACGTATGTATCATCGCTCGAAATAATGAGCAGTTGTCAGCAGACTCAGGGATACTCATATTGGGCAGCATGATAGAAGCCCGATCGATCATTTTTCGCCAATCTCATTTCATCTTTACGAAATGTCCATTAAATATCACAAAATATAATACTTTTATACTTCAGATATTTATACTTTTATCTTGCGACTAAAATTAAGAATTAATTACTTACCTTCGAAAAAATATAAGGTATACAAATAAATAAATTATACATGTTATGTGTTCAAATCAATCAATTCGATTTTATTTAAGATACTTTTATGCGAACGAAAAGATTTTACAGAATGATCGATGGTGTTTCACGCTCCATGACGTTTCCATAAGCCGGATTGAGAACCACCGTCTTCTATCGCAAAGCCGCTACTGCTATGGGGACATAGGGGTGTTCACCCACGAACACCAAAGGCATTCTTCTATAATTTGTTCAATTTACGCACGGACACGCAGCGTGTATAGAGCCATTCATCGGAGTAATCCATTAGACCGTTAATCCAATAAGCGATTCACCGCTTCGATGTATTCTTAGGTCATCGCAACAGTTTTCTTACATGTCCTTTAGAAATATATTCTAAGTTAAAAAAAAAAAAATTTTTTACCCGCTCTTTAAACTTCTTTACTGTTTTGCTTTCACTTTATGTATTTTACATTCTTGAATTATTTCTGCTGTCGCAATTAATTCCACTTTGCAAGTCATGTATCGGGTGTCACTCTATATATCTCCGTATTAATTTATGAAATTTGTGAAAAGGTACAAATTCTCGTTCGTTATTGTTGAGTTATTCTCCTGACAATCATCGTTTATCCTCGAGGCGTGAGTAGCAATAATCGGTTAACGCTTTATCGCTGGCTTTTAACTTTTTTCCCGATACCGTTGGCGGGTATCTACAATTCAAAAATGGCGATATTTTATGCAACGCTATGAAACTTTTATGCGCGAGCTGATCTTTTCACAGGCGTTTGCACCCGTACATTATATTCGCTCGATCAGCTGTGGCTTCTCTCACTTGTAAATCAGAGGGGACAAGCTGAATGACGACTCGCCGGATGTATAATCAGATAAACGTATCATAATATATTTATTATGGAGATAAATAAAGGATTTTTTTATTATCTTTATTTTCAATGCTTAAATTCAGCAATAAGCAGACAATTATGTATCGGACATATTACTGAAAAACAAATGTTACATATTTGCAACATTTCTGTTTAATTCAACACATTCTCCACACAGTGTATTTATAAGGCACATAAAATTACCATAATGTAACACAACTGATTAAGCGTTCAGGAAGATAAACATATAAGACGACATCGTATTATTTATTGCCGGTTCTCGCCTGAGTCTTTTAATTTCAATGACGGAGATACAAAGGATGAGAAAGAGAGGATTCAGCAGGATGAAGATGCCGCTCGAAGGGAAAGTAATCCTCCTCGAGTGCACGCGCGCGCGTGGTGGTGCGAATCTATGTGAATATAACTTAATCCAAGTCGAGAAGAAGGCGCTCCAAAACGGTCCTCAATTATCCGATGCATCCATTAAAGTGCCGACGAAGATCCTCTTAAATGGATCTTGGAAGAAATCTGCCGAGATAGTTTCGAGTTTTCAACGAGCTCTGCAGAGTGACGGATTGTCGATAAATTTTTTCGCTCGTCTATAACGCATCTTGATTCGTGCTTATAACCGGTATTTGTGTCCTTGCGATATCTTGAAGTATCGACGAAAGTTTAGCGTGATTTATTAGAGCGAAAATTCCTCGCAAAGCACACACAAATAATTAATTTTAAAGTCACCTTGTTTTTTACTCACACAAGAAGAAAAATCAAGTTTTGCCAAAAAAGGACATTTGAGTACGCCTTGTAAAATATAATATAATAAATTCCATATACAAGAAAGGTGAAAGGGGAAACGACGACCTATGGCACACTAGTTTTCTCTCACACGAAGAAAGAAAATTATGTGGCGAGAGTGGCGGTATTTACGCGGCGCGCTAGCTAAAAAGTTGCGGCTTAATTGGCACTAATTTACCGAAGTACCGGTCTCCGCCGGTCCGATGTGTGTGTGATCGCGCCTTCCACCTCGATTAAATGGTGTTTACGTAGGTCTCATAAGGGAATAGCTACTGCCCGCGCGGGCGGAAGTCGTAATTAATACTTCTTTCAAAAACTTTATTTCTCGCGCTAATTTGCCGGATCTCAGCACGTCATCGGTTATTTAACTCTTTTTATTGCCTCAGGAAGTAAAACAACAACGTATATAAATTTATATATAGACTTTATATAAAAAAATATACAAAAATTTTATAATAAAATAAAATTAAATAAATAAATAAATATTATCTTGATGTACTTGTTTATTAGAAGGTTACGTCACAGGGCGCATTAAGAGAGAGAAAGAGAGAGAGGAGAGGGGGTATTATTTTCATATGAAAAAGCATTTGTTTCCATATTCAACGACATACATACACAATTTATTGAATTTTTTCAAGCGGGACGTTTCTGGGATATTCGAAGTAATCCTGGTCCCGACGATAGACCCAAGAGAAGAAGAGATGAGGCTTATTCGGCAAGATGGGGGAGAAATCCGTCGCTGTCATAAACGTAAGACATGTCTGAATGTCTAAGCCGGTCCTTGGATGCGAGAATGATGATTAGTTTAGGGTATAATATACGGTCGCGGGAGTCAGGCTGCCGCGGTCGTCTTCTGGGAGACGTTGGGGTGGATTAAGGACGAGGAAGTATCGACCCGCGACTATGGTTATCCGTAAAGTTTACCTCAGTTTCTGGCGTCGCTTTGAGATCCGCTCCTCCGAGAAGCGGAGGAGGCCTTTGATTGTCTACAGACCGCGAGCTCAAAGACGGACGGAAAGAAACTCTTTACAAACTGATGCTTCAAATCACCAAGTCGAGTCTTTGTATTGAAAACAAGAGAGTTATTTGCGAAGAAGAAGATCTGCCTTTGCACTCGCCTCGAATGCGCGCACTTTTGATTATACGTTTCGCTAAAAGCGTATTGCTCCTTTCACTCGCACGTTTCAATTTGATTGTCGGCAACACGCCGTATTGACCGTATCCGCGATAATTGCACGCAAACAAAAAGCGAGCCGAGTCGACTAATAAAATATAATTATTCTCGCTGCTGTCGCACGATGCACATTTGATGGCAGGCGATTTCGTTCGCCCGTTATTCCCGGCCGAGCTGATAGTTCGGGATAATTTGGTGGGATAATACCGCATTGTAAACTGCGTTACACATACACACGTACACGCAGCCTGATTAAACGTTCCGCGAAATAACCCCCTACCCCGAATGTTGACGAACTTTGCATTCTATCATCGTGGTACGGAGTGATAGCGTGTTATTAGTTTCATTTGAAGCTCGCCAACATCGCCGCTTGTAACGATAACAACTGTGCGATGAATTGCACATTTTTCATGTTTTTTTTTTCGCAAATAAGAGAAAAGCTTCTGTAATTACATACCGAGAAAGTGCTCGGCAATTATTTTTGCTACTGCAACATATTTATTTGTTTTCACATGTTTATTTGTTCGACGAGATATATTTTCTGTCTTTATTCATCGTGATAAAGATACAGCCAATATTCCACGAAATTATTCGAATCTCTGAGACAAAACTGACGATGAGAAAAATATTGATAGTTATAGAGTGCGCCTCATTTGTGCGTTTCGCAATTTTATTGTCGAGGTTTTATTTTTCTCCAAAGTGAAATTCTGACGGATCGCGTATGGCTCTAGTGGTGAGATCCAATTACCGAGCGCCATAACAATTCCACACGCGAGAAACAATTTGGTTTCGGGAAATGGAAGGATTTTTTGTTACAATTCTTTCGTCTCATTTATCGTATCTGTTCAGCGCGCTTCGCGGTTGGTTTACCGATTCTGCGCGAGCACTTTCGCGATTCCACTTCGAAGGAACGGCTTTTCCTTAACAGAGATTCTATTTTCTTATTACAAGGGATATCTCATTATTTGCAAATGATATACGTGATTTCCCTTTCTTTCGCAAAAGCGGGTCAATTTGATTGATCGATGACTCTACGAGAACTTTTTCTCGCGAATTTGTAGCCAAATACATTATATTCCGAGCGTACTGCTGTTAAACGATCATAAAAAAGATGTCGTTAGGCGCAATCGTGCTCTCTTTGAGAAAATGCACTCCCGGTGGAAACATCGGTAAAGTTTCAAGTCGAATGTGGTCTGCGATTGGATTTTTCCAAGTACGTTTACACGACGAATTACCCTCGCAGCAAATAAGTGGAGAGGTGAAAAGGCAGAGAGTAAACGTGAGAGAAGGAGTGAGAGAAAGAGAGAGAGAGAGAGAGAAAGAGAGAGGAGCTCTTTGAGCAGAAATCAGGTGGATGGATCAAAGCGGAAAGCGAGGAATTGCTCGTGTTCTGCATTGTTTTGAAATTTGTCAGAAAGAAATGGAGAAGGTAAATAAAATCCAGATGGAAATAATATTAAAAATATTTGGAATTTTCAATTGCGTGAGAGGTAACGTGATAAAATTCACTTGAATATACATACAATATACGGGAAAACATGCACACGTATTTTTATTGCACAATAAACACACATATCAAACTTGCAAATGATTAAATTGCAGGTTCGAAGTTGATTATTTCGAAAGCAACGCCGGCCTGTAATTTTCCGAAAATCTTACAATCTTATATCGATGAACCAAAACATTATGATCACCTATCTAATATCGTGTTGATCCTCCATGTGCTACTGAAACTGCTCTTATCCTGCGTCCTATTATTCGTGTGGAAGGTACTTTTCGGCCGGATCTACAATAGGTGTAGTAAGCTTTAAACCGTAAGATATTGACCAATCATAGTCAATTATTCTTTACACATTCGTCTGTGATTGGACAATTTCTTACGACTTAAAACTTACTGCACTTATTGTAGATCCGATCTGACGCGTACCACGTACCTCATTGAAAACGAGGTATGACCCCTTCATGGCCCAACGGTTTTCTACGATGGCAGTGGTATCTTTCTGCGGGACAATGCGTCCTGCCACACTGCACGGATTGTTCGAAAATGAATTTGAGGTACGTGAGGGAGACTTCACAGTTCTGTTCTGGCCACACCAAATTCATCCGATCTTAATCCCATTAAGTATTTGCAAAATGTGTTGGACCAACAAGCTCGCTTCGCACAACTCCTTCGTAATTTACAGTAATTAAAGGAACTGCTGTTAATGTCTTGGTCTAATCACATCTCAGTGGACATACATAATTAGAGGTCTTGCGGAGTGGTTTGATGCCCAGTATAATAACGGTTTTGACAGCACATGGAGGATCAACGCAATAATATGTAGGTGGCCATAATGTTTTGGCTCATCAGTGTCTCAACTCTTGTCGATAAGTGTAACTGGATCAAATAATAGATATAATAGAAATCTCTCTCTCTCTCTCTCTCTCTCTCTCCTCTCTCTCCTCCCT